ACGCAACAGGTCCAAACGTACCTGGGTGAACCAAACATCGGAAGATTGGAGAACCCCCCAGAGCATTGGCAAGGACAGAGAAATGTCAACTTGCTGTTGCTTTTCTCTTCATTCCAGCTTCATGTGTGCCCTGTGAAAGGGTATTTTCTAAAGCAGGCGAAAGCATCTCCAAAAACAGAAACCGCCGTCATTTATAAATAAAAATAAATTGTTGGATCTATTTTACGAGTCGCATCACAACACTCTCCCTTGTTTCCATTTTCAAGACAGACACCACATTAATAAGTTCATAATTTATGTAATGGCCTCACAAACATTCATTTATTCAGTTCAAAGCTTCACACACTAAAGCCACGGTGTCATTTCAACCACTGCCTGTTTTACATTTGTTGTCCACTTGATGGCACAGCAGAGTAAATGAAGCTCCATGAAGCTTCGGCCAGTGAGTGAACCAACTGGATGGAAAGCTTTGATGGTCCATGGACCAATATCTCGCAATCACTAGAAACAGGTGAGAAGTCCATAACTGACATAAAACATCCAGAGGAACACAACACACAGGGTTGACCAGTGATCGATACGGTCAGAGACACTGCTGAAACAATGAGCGTGGAACGAATGACAGAAAACCACTTATATACACAGGTGGGGTGAAGACAACGAGGCACAGGTGATACACATCAGACAATCAGTGCACAAAGAAACAGGAAGTTAAAAGACAACATTTAGGTCAGCAAACTGAGCAATAGTGTCAATTTCAGAGATGAGTTAAAAACTAAAAAAGTTATTCTGCAGGAAATGAAGCCTTGAAAGTTAATGCAAAGACACATTTTTACATTAACACCTTGGAGAACAGCCTGTTAACACACCCTCAGAAGCTTTATTTGTACAATATTATATATATTATATAATATTATTAACGAAAGACAGAGCAGCTGGTCATCCGTTGATCATACAGTGAAATAATGAACAAAACTCCGTCATTTGATTGATAATTTTACATCTGAAAATCTCTGTTTTGGTGACCTAAATGTTGTTTTTAAACTTTGGCAGTTTGCTGCTTACTTTTATACCTCTTAAGGTTTTTCACTGGACTTGAACTACTTAGTGAAAACGTTTGACCTGTAGTGTATAAGCAAAAAATGACCTAAAAACTTTTATAATGCAGTTTTGTTTTTACTGTACTCAAACATTCAAGGATAAAACATTTAAAGAAAGAGAACCATTTGTCAAGAAACCAACATTTCATACAATAAAAGCAAAATAAAAACTAACAATAATGAATGAAACAAACATACACAAATGCTGACATGAGAGCTGTGTTTCAACCCAAAACCACTAATGAATCTTCAAATCTCGTTCATTAAAATGAACTAATCTTTTTTTGAGTCATTTCGTTCATTTGAACTAGACTGCTTATTTCGGCGCTGCAGCCCTCTAGTGGCTGATGTAAAAAAACAGCGCAGTTCTCAAACACGGAAGGCTGCCTGGTTTGCTTTAATTGACAAAGTTTAATGCACAAATTCACCTCTTGATCTTTCTCTGTCATGGTTCTATAAAGCCCCAAAAGCCCCCACAACCAAATTCAAACCATGTAAAAACCACAGAAATATGTTGATATGTCAATATGCAATCACCACTACTCCGGCTAAACAATCCCTGCGATGCTTACGTTGATTTCAGCTCTTGGTGTTTATGTGGGTGTTTTAATGGGAATGTGGATCTTTCATATCACTTTGAGAAGTACCTCCGACCACATTTTATTGCGTGCCATGCAATGAATTTATCCATCTGTACATTGGAGCATTGTTCAGTGGCACATTTTTGTGGTAAATGTTCTAAATTTAGAAACTTTTAACAGCGTCAGGTTTGTGCCTAATCTGATTTCTCACTTCCAGCCAGAACGACACAGTTCGTACCATATTATCTGGAAAAACAAATGTTTAGGAATAGAAGTCCAGCAGTATTTCACCGCGAAAGCCCAGGAATGACATGAAAAGCGAACTCAAATACTTTTCACTATAGCAGAATAAGCACAACACTCATATTTCTGTTAATGCCTCTAGGAGCTGCTGCCAGAGCTTTCACGCTCATGTTTCATCTTTTATTTCTTAAAGGTAGTGTGTGAATGTGTGTTGATGTCTCTGAGGTTAGTGGAGATGCTCAGGGATTCACCCCCACCTCTCCATCCGTCTACTGGAGTGCTGCACTAATATTAAAACCTGTCTCTTCTGATCCCAAATGACAGAAGGCCGTCACAATGATGGCAAACTTTTAATGGCTTAACACATTCACTGCACTGACAGGAGAGAGAGAGAGAGAGAACAATGAGGAGGACGTTTGTCAGACCTGAATGACTGGATGTGATTGTGTTTAATTAAAAAGCTGCATCTGCCTGTCAGGCCGTCTGCTCTTTTTGGCTTGTTGTTCTATTGTTTTTGCCAAATCTGAAAACCTCTACACAATGGATTATACGGCGAGCACTCATACTTTTTAATTAACCCCCAATCTGCACCTGCAGTGCAACAACTAAAATGTCCCCTCATCTGGGGGCTTTTTTCCCACCCTGATGAGTTGATGAGTGTTGATTTCATCAAGTGAGACAATAGGCAGAATAGAGATGACTGATGTACCACCTTTTATCAAAGAGTAGCTTTACCTGCCCACACACACACATTCAAAAACATGCTTTTCTTCTTGTTACTTCTGATGTTTGACCTTCACTGCTGTAGAGTTTCACTCTAGAAGGCTGTTTTCACATCATTCCTTCAAATCTCACCTGGCCGCACCTGCAGGATTGTGTGACATCACAACTAGTTTGAAACCAGTCATGATCCAGTATGAAACTGACACAGGTGTGATGTGGAGCTGTGAAGCCTCCTGAGCTCATGTACTATGGACTGTTCATCTTGTGGCCTGGATTTTTCAGAGCAGGAGAAGGAGTCAATGTCATTTTAAGACTTTTTGATGACACAATTTAACTTTTTTTGCAGAAATAAAAACCACACAAGACCCAATTTAACACTCCGAGCAGATTACTGTTATCAGTCAACACTGTTAAAGCTGCATTATTCAGGTTTAAACAGCACAATGCAACATTATCGTGTCGACCTAATGTGGTCTTCTAGCAAAGACAGCGGTGAAGCATGCAATTTTGTGGAGTTAAACAGCCCAAACTGGGTTAAAAGCAATCGAGATGCCTCAGATCACACTTTGTAGTATTTGGCCACGCAATGATGTTTAATACTTTTTTGTTTATGCATTACAGCTGGCACTCACACTGAAGGACCCAGGGCCGTCCACTGGGTGGCTCTTGCCTCACACTACTGTGAAATTTAGGCTTTAAATTCAAATATAAGCATCAGTGTCATCTGCTTCCACACACAGTGCTTTAAGTCATTTATAACAATAAATCTGTAAATCTCCCACCGGTGTTCAGGCTGACAGTCAGCTGAGACCCAGTGATCGCAGGTATGTTTCATTTTTATACTCTGATGCGGAGTTACTGCTGATAACACACAGTGTGAGCTACTCACGGTAGCATCTGCACAGCCTGTGACCTCTCCTCACCAACACAAAGGTGCCTCTTGTGTTTCTCCACTCATACCTTTCTGTGCATCGTTGTGTGACTCTGCCACAATTGTTGTCCACCTCTCTTTCTGTCCCCACAGCGCACAGTAGATTCACTGAACAAAGAAAAAGACAGCATTTTTCACTTTATTTAAACAGCCCAAAGTTACCTCTTGTGGTTACACCGTCGTGTGCATCCTTGTGAGTCTCTTCTTCTCAGCCACAGATCAAGATCTGCAAAATAACTGTAAGAAAGAATCGTTTGCCTGTCTGTAAAACACATCATCTCAACATGCATCAGTTTATTTGACTATATTACTGTCTATAAATGTTGTGTTTATGTTTTAATGTGAGATGGACTGGCCCAGTTCAACATAAGTAATTCTCTGTGGAGTTTCATGACTCTCTCACATGCACATCAGACTCACAACACACAGCTTGACGCATTCTGTTCTGAATTTGTCATATTACAGGAGCCACATCTTCTGTTTTACAGCCTCCTACCGCTGACACAGGTGAGGTCAAAGTAACTCTGCAATACAACATGTTTCTACAACTCAGTGCAGATGTATGTAGCACGTGTGTTCATGTAGATAAGTGAAACAAACTTTACCTGTAACTGAAAGGAGTACATGCACTAAATTGTTGGCATTGGTGTTTAACATTGTAAATGTAAATGCTCTGTACTTGTATAGCGCGTTTCTAGTCTTTTCGACCACTCAAAGCGCTTTTTACACTACATCTGCATTCAGCCGCCACAAAATGCACAACATAAAGACACATGTACTTAAGTTAGCATATTGCACATGCCTGCATCACACACACAGCCGCCAGTCAGCTCAGGGAATATCTTTGATGTTTCAAACCAAACTCACTAGTGGAAGAGACCTAGTCCATCCTCGCCAGCAGCACTGGGAGGTACGGGGTGTCGGAGAATCACTAAGCTGGTCTATTAGTCACTTGGTTTTAATTTTAGTTGGCAAACTTTTGTACTGAAAGCAGTTTCACAGTTTGCTTGCTGGGACCCAGAAGAGGTTTAGTGGAGATTTGAACTGAGATAAGAACTCATTCATTGAGCACTGATTGTATAATAGACTGTGGTGAACTCTTGTACCTGATGATGACCTGAGCATGATTGATATACCTGTAAGGTGAAGTAATTGTCATGTACTAAAATACATGGGACATTTTTACATGCATGTAATGTTTGTGTGTATATTTACAATGAATGACATTAGTTTCATTATATGATGCCTAAATGAGCTTAATGTTATTCCCTCATTTAGTGCATACATTTCATTAGTGGCTGATAAGTGAGACAACAAAAAAACTGAGACGAGTACACGTGGAGACTCTCTGAAATGAATGAGAGGAGCCACTCACTTTTTCCAGATGTGATTTGCAGTTTTATTTGCTTTGATACATCCAAAAAAAAAAAAAAAAAAAAAAAAAAAGTAGTAATTGATTGGAATTGATTGTTTTGATATGTAAAAAAGGTATTTACAAATTAAAGATTCACAAACAGAGGGCTTTTTACTGTCTGCAAATGTCAGTGACGAGCAGGCTGCTGGTGGAATAAAATCCTGCGCCAATTGAGGTCCAAGCCCTTTCCTCTGAAAGATGACTTCTGCGCTCCGTAATTAAAGAGCAGCTCTCCGTTGACCTGAATGTTCTTTTTTGCCAGGAAAAGAATGACGTCTTTTTCCTCCCCGTCTATGTCCACAGTGTACAGCCTGGGCCTCAGGTTGTCTTTCCTTTTGGAGTGGTTAATGAGTCTGCCAACAGTCTGCTGCTCAGGGTGGCACTCGCAGGAAGATGAATGTGCGTCGATGCACATGGGCTGCCCTTTATTGTCCGTGTAGAAGAACATGTTTCTGGTCTCCTCCTCACTGGGGCTGCCCTGTATGTCCTTGCCCTCTTGCTCTGTGATCACCCGCCCATGGTAGTCACAGACAACCTCCCCGGTCTGAAACACGCGGGTGGCAATGACACCCGTGCCCTTGTCAGTCTCAGTGACTTGAAGTCCTCTCCACTTCTGTGACTGAGTGAACTTCTGGATCTGCCTCGAGTCCATGATCGTGTCCACAGATCCAGAGGGCTTCCAGTCTTTGACGATCTGGGCAGCGTTGGGGATGTTGCTCTTCCATCCCTGCTTTGCTATCCAGGAGCGGACCCGGTGTTCTGTCGGGAGGCGTCGGCAAAAGTATGCTGCCAAGGAAAAATTAAAAAGGTGGAGTTAGTCAAGACTTTGATCGTCATGTGCGATGTACAGAACAAATGTTGGAAAACACTGTAAGAAATAAATACTCACAGAGAACGTGCTGCACACGCAGTTTCATTTGAGCCTTCAGCCAACGCTCGTACAGCTTTCTGTGAAACTGGCGGGATGACTGACAGCGCAGAGACATATCTGGCACGTCCCCATCCAGAGTCACCGGGTGCGTTCCCAGAAAGTGGTCATATGCCGCAACGACATCGGTGTGCACATTTGTTCTGTAGACAGGCTTGTGGGGAGTATTGCCGGCAGAGCCCCGGGTAGGATGACTGGATCCCTCATCTGCCGGCTCAGCACTAAATAAAATAAATAAGAAGAGCATAACATTAGATTTCAGTGTGCCTAAATTTTGGGTTTGAAAGTTTATTCGGTTGACAAATGGAAAATATGCTTACCTCGAGTCACCAGCCTGCTCAGCCACCAGAGACTTGGAGGCCGCCTCGAAGACCCTGCATGCCAACTGGCTGCTCACTGGCTTGACTCTGTATCTAAAACAAGTTTCAACAGTATGTTAATATTGATTAACTCACCCCGGCTGAGACAGCAGTGTCAGAAATGGAGGGGAGGTGAATCGTGATGGGTAGCTTACTTTGTTTGCAGCCGGTGCAGGTCATTGGAGGCATTGTAGATGGGCCTCCCCGTGGTGGAGATGAAGAATCGATCTTCTCCTTCTGTGTCATTCCTCTTAACCCTCTTGGACTCCAGGAGTAGTGGCCTCACCTGTGTGAAGTAAATCTCAAACCACTGTTGGCACAGGGAAAATAGGAATAAAGAGTATTTACAGCTTTTTAACAGGTTCTCACGTGAAGGAAAATTTTACTTTACTATTTTTTTGTTTCACTTTATTTTGAAACAGAAAGACAGGAAATGTGGGAGAGAGAGAGGTGATGACATGCAGCATGGGGTCGCTGCAGCAAGGCGAGTTAACCTGCGCACCAGGAAATTTGACTCACCAACTCCTCCTCCTGTGAAAGGGCAAACATGGCAAACTGTTGAGCTGCTGTCTTGTGCTCCTTTACGCCAACGATTCTGTTGCCAGAGGAGTCTGGCTTTCGGGCAGCCCACTCCTGTACCTGCATAAAAACAAGGATAGCACATTGGTTAGTACGGGCAATGGCATGAATGTCAGCTGAAATTTACAATATAGACAAAAAATGAGCACAATAATACTCACAGTCATGTGCTCCACCACGCCTGGTAGTTGGTGGTGTTTCAGGAGCACCACTGCCTCGAGGTAGTACACCACAAGGCCGCACTCAGTCTTCTCCAGGGAGGAGCTGTCGTCTGGGTAGACTTTGTTGATCACGGACAAGAAGTCCCTCTTGGCAGCCCTCAACACAGCCAAGCAGTCATGAGGAGTCAGCTGGCAATTCTCTGTCAGCTTGGCATGCCTACAAGAAGAAACACATTAACAAACCAGAACTTTACTTTGCTCAGATAATGTGTTCTGTTATCCAGTTAAATGGACGGGCAAACAATTAAACTTGCCTCGCTTGGGTGATCTCTTTGCTCACTTTCTCTGAGCAGCTTTTCAGCAGAGACACAGTGTACTCAATAAATTGTCGGCAGTCCTCGTGGAGTTTCTCATCCTCATTCCTCAGGTTGGTGTAGACTGTGTGGTATGTTAGGAATCTGCCGGAGAAAGTACAAGTAATAAGTAACCACGTGTATTCAAGCTCATTTAAGTGTATTGTCTACACATGTGTTGACATTATATGGAAATAAAACACCAAATGCTACCAACCGTTTCAAGCTATTGAGGTAATTAAGTTGTGTTTGTGTTTTCAGTTTTGCCTCGGAGAGCTCATGGAGGTACTCCTTTGTCTTTTCCCTGTTCCTGACGAAGTCCAGGGATGGACACTGCGGGTCCATGTAGTACAGGAACCGAGCAACATTTTCAACCTGAAGAGAAAAAAAAAAAAAACATGCTCAACTACCTTGTTATGACTATTTGGCAAATATTCAAACATTGTTTTACTTTTGTATTTCATAGTTGTCCTCACCTCCTGTTTAAAATTCTCATTGTAGAGGTCTTTCTCCAGGTACGTGGCAAACCCCTTCAGCAACGGATGCTCCAGAGAGTGCTTGTTGTAAAGGCCCCTCTCCGCCATGAGCTGCCTGGTCAACTTCATGTCTGGGTTCCTGCAATGTGGAAAGAGTTCTCTTACAGCAGTGTTTTCCTTCCATTTGTGATTCACATGACTCAACGTCAACAACAAACATCAGTGAAGTTGTAAAACTGAGATTCTCACCGTTGAAAGGTTTCGTCACTGCAGACAGAGTCGTTCTTGGACTGCTCGTCCTCGTCAGTCTCCGGAGCTGCGCTCCCGGGCGGTGGCCGTGTGGTCGGCCTTGCCCGGACATTGGGCAGTGATGGAGGAACATCAATCACCACCATATGGCGACGGTGCAGCTCCTCAACTAGCCTGTCATTTAAATAAAAAACCATAATTTAGACACTTGTATCCAACAGAGGTTTCAGACATGGAGAATTGGACTGAAAAGCTCCTCCACCAACCTGCTGAGTGGATCAGCACTGTCCATAATCTGACAAAGGAGGGCGTATTCAAACACCCTGCCAGTTGCCAGAAGTTCACAAACGTCCCTCTTTGCCTTCTCCATCTCTGCCTCGATGGCTTCTTGCGAGCCGTTCTTCATGCAGACCCTGCGTAGATGCGTTGACATGGTTCTCTGGGTCTTCCGGCAGAAAGGACACAGCATATGGAGTCTCTTGGATACACTGGGAACAGAAAAGGACATTCTTCACTTAATTAAAAACTTAACAAGTGTTACTGCACACGACAGCTTTCCTACAAGAGTTTCTGCAGATAATACTGATCTTAAACTTACCCATTGGAAGCCATTCTTCAGCAGTCAAAAAGTAGATCCACTGGAACAAAAGCAGGAGATATCTTCAGCGAAGACAGGAACACTTTTCAAACCAGGAGATGTGTAATTGAAGCTTCTGGTGGTCCTTGCTTATATGCCTCATCCTATCTGACAGCCCCGCCCACAGTTAGGCTCAGATGGGGTGTTAATAAGTGTGACCTGCCCTGAGAAAAGCCCTGTGTTTTTACTGTAAACTTAAGTTAGTTTTAAAATTTTAAGTGACCTCTTTGGTGAAATCATCTTTGCAAGTGTTTTTCTCCACAGCACTGTCATCTTTATCAATGCAACCAATTTCTTTTGTGCCTAAATAAAAACCCTTACCATATCCTGGCATGAGTGGGAATCAGAAATCTGAAATGAAGTAAGTTAAATGTAAGAAAATGCTTTTCTTTTGATTGATCTTGTAGTTTTGGGGAACAAGTCGCTTAAACTGAGATTTTAAGTTAGTTATAAACAAGTTGCTACTGAGACGGCTTCTTTTGTACTAAATTAACTTAACATTGGTAAAATCATCTTCTCCACAGCACTATATCCATTGAAACATGTTTACTTTATAAGAAGTAAAAACCCTTCCGTGCTGTACATATCCTGGCACAACTGGTGAGTTAAATGTAAAAAAACAAACATTTTTTTTTGTTTGATCTTGCAGTTTTGGGGAAAAGTCACTTACAAGCTTAGTTGTAAACAGGTTATTTCTAATCCAGTTTAAATACAATCACATTAGAGATATTATCATTACGTCTTGTCAGGATTTGTGGAGGAGCGCAAAGGAGGTGAGCTCAAACGCAAGACACCAAGGCAGAGACAAGGTTCAGGGATTTTAATCCACAACAGCAACAGGCAAAACAAGCTTACAGGCAGTTGACTGGAAGATCGACACAGGCAGACAGAACACTCTACCAGCCGCACATGACTGAATGAACACACTACAAAACACCACAATGACCAGAAACACCAAACATTTAAACACAGGGACTAACGAGCAGGGCGGGAGCAACACAGGTGACCGGCATCAGGGCTAACGAGGCAGAGAGAGACACTCACAGATGCAAAACACAAGACCATACATTAACTGGAACTCAAAGTATTTAGTGGACAAGCAAGCAGAGGAATTACTGGGGAACAGACACCAGCAAACAGATCACAAATAAACACCAACAAGGAACACAGACTGAAGCTAAGATAAAACAGGACTCAGAAGTAAAACACTGAGCTGGGACACCAAGAAGACAGACATGAGTGAAACCCAAAACACAACAGACTATATAAGAGATACTGGCCACAGGACAGAACCCAAAACACTATAAGACAGATACTGAACTGATCAAAATATCAAAAACCCACAGAGAGCTAAACTAAACATAGCCGACAGGCAGAATGTGACGCGTCTGCATTTTATGTGTCCATGTTTCTGCAGCTGGTCTATTATTTAAACAAAGTGATGTTTTGTTTACCAACAACAAATCTGACAAAATACAACTTACAACACTCAGTCAGTGGACTCATATTTTCTATGCATGTGTTTTATATTTGAATATCTCCAAGGATTTCTTTAAACCAAACTAAAACATCAAACAGGGCTGGAATTACATGCAATACTGTAATGCACCAAATTAAAGCTCACGATTTACACTTTGTAGTGAGCCTAAACACGTCCCATAGCCAAGAAAAACACATTGAAGATTGTGCTTGTGTCTGCGTTTTTACTTGTCCATTTTCTGTGGCTGGAAAATTACTTAAACAAAGTGATGTTACTTATACCAACACCAAAAGTGCTTAAAATGTTCAGATAGTGGCTTCTTATTTCTGCGCACGTGTTTTAGATTTTAAAATCTGCAAGGATTTCTTTAAACTAAACTAAAACATCAAACATGAGCTGGGCTCAGGGTTTATACATGAGCTACGTTTGTCTGACCTATACAAGCAACACAGTTACACACCAAAGTGAAGCCCATGATGTGCACTTTCTAGTGAGCCTAAACACGTCCCACGGCTAAGAAAAACATTGCGTAAGAAGTGTAACATTCGACTATGTTCTTTTGTCATTGATTAGCCTCCGATGTGACACACTCCCAAGCAGATGGACGCCCAATTCAGGTTTAAATTTCTATTGAGCCACATTCCAACCTGTGAACGAGCGCTAATGAAACATACCCAGACATCAGAAACTCATTTACATGTGAGTGAGGAGAGTTAACTGGGCAAGTGGCTTAAAGGACAGAAAGAAAAAGTCTCTTACTGAAGCTGAGATTTAAAGCATGTACGCAGAAAGATTCTCTGCTGAGGAAGAGTGTGGCAGAATATAATGTAAACAAGTTATTTCTATCCATCCATCTTCACCCGCTTATTAAAACAACCGCGGGTCGCGGGAGCAGCAGCTCCAGCAGGGGACCCCAAACTTCCCAAGCCACATTAATCAGCTCGGCGTTCCCAGACCACTGTAATCTCTCCATCTAGTCCCGGGTCTTCCCCGAGGCCTCCACCCAGCTGGACGTGCCGTGTTTAAATAAAATAATCCCATTTCTGGACACGACCCATAGAGATATTTTGTCTGCATTTTTATTTGGCCATGTTTCTGCAGCTGGCCTATTATTTAAACAAGTATTTAACCTGGTTGGCAGCAGAATGTCACAATGTCAGAACAAATATGGGTTAGTTTGCAGTGCGGATTATTTCTACAGCACTGTAACCCTAAATATGGTGAACATAATGACTCAGCAGTCATTATTATTATTATTATGAATCAGAATTTACTAAAAATAAAAATCTGCATAAAACATTACAAACAAAATAGAGTGAAAACTTGGTCAAAGAACCAGCGTCCACTTGTAACGGTATTCCCAAAAGCAGAGACGAACACTGCACTTCCTGCCGAGAGTATTGGAATATCCTTTTTTTTTTAATCCCATTTTCAGGTACATGCCAATCACCTCTTCAATTCCCTTGGCGTTTGTGTTAATAGTTGTTCCAGCCTTTTGAAAGCTGTACAGATTAGTGTTTTCAGTCAGTGCCTGAATCAGCCAGTGATACTGGTCCTGGGGCAAAGTCGGTTTAGTTGGTTGGCTCGGTCTGGTTTGCTTGATGTCCTCATCATCATCAGTTGGACAATCAGTGGGTGTCCGATACCTTTGTCCACTTCATCAACATTTCTAACCACCTCCTCATCACTTGAATCACTGGTGTCCAATTCCATCTCAACGTCACGCCTCCATTTTGGACGGCATCAATGACGTCATGCTCACCTAAGTCGACACCTCTCCTTGGCTGGTGTCACTGAAATGGAAATATCAGTTGTGAGCCATAGAGTATGTTCAAGTATAAATAATTTAAATGCAAATGAATTCTATTTATGCGACACACACAATACTGTGTGGCTAGCCTAAAGTGATCTCTACTTAATAATCTGAACAGACTATACAAACCCCCAGACCTCTTACATCCCCACAGCGCAGAGCATTCACACCTGTCCCTGAACAATGTACCCGACACGCAACCCCCGCATTTCTAAACATTTGCGCCTGTCTTTGCACAACCATACTCCAAAGCGAGCCACAAACAGTCGCGATATAAATGATCTCTGGGAGGGAAGTTTAAGGGCACCGGTTGAATGTTAGTCAAATATTCACTCTCCTTATACATGTCAAAATATAAATAGATGGGGTTTTTTTTTTAGCTATCAAGCTAATTTAGGAAGCACTGCAACTTCAAATGTCTAATCGATACCAAGCTTAAGTAAATCTAACCCAATGAACTGGGTTTAATGTGTCACTGTGGGGGCTCGAGCCAGCACAGGCTGGTTTACTGCAGAGCAGCAGTCCCAGGATGGCTAACATCTGTCAGGAGACGACAGCTCCTAATTTATTTAACACTTAGTGGAGAAAATAAAGTCACTGTGATGGACTGGGACAAAGGGCCTCAGAGGCAGAGAAGAAGAATGAGAGAATTCATCCCCTTCTTGAACACACACACTGCCCTGCAGCCACTCTACATTGAAAGGTGTGAGACAGAAGTGAAGAAAAAAAGAGGGGAAGGAAGAAACTGATCTAGCAGGGCGACAGGGGGGAAAAAACACTTTATTTTTTGGGATTCTTTCCTCTTTCTAACTCATTCTGCTTCTCTGCGGTCAGTATGAGCCTCAAGAAAATGTATTTCAAATAGTTTCCTTTTTCAAACAAAAGGAAAAATAGAGGGCGAGTCCTGACTGTGTCACCTTATACACCTTATCTGTATTTCCCTTCCACTGACCTGAGACGGTTTCCATCCTTGGGAACATTACAGTCCAATTATCATGTGCTTCAGGTCGTGATCGGTTTACATATAAATAAGTACTCAAGGGCTACTTCCAGTTCAGCAAAGACAGAGTAGTCGTTTACATGTGCATACAGATGAATCCTTCACCTCCATCTAACTGATCAAAAGGTTCAGTTAGCCAGCAGAAAACTAGTACTGCATCTGAGTACTCCAAAATGTTCCTAAACAATTAGTTGATCGGCAGACGGAGATTTTAATGCCGGACCTGTGTGGGCTCAGCAGCCAATCATGATCACAGCGGTGTGTCATGTCACACACACCGTTTTTAGTATCTTCCTGTTTGTTTTGGCACATTTCTCCAAACATTAACATCAGAAAACAGTTTATCCAATGAACAAGGTCATTTATTTATTATACAGCACAAGGGTGTACAATGAAAAGAACGTTTGTAGTTCCTTCATGCAGTACACACAGACCTTAACAGATAATTAAATGTATATCAAAATATGGTAACCTAAAATAAAACAGTGTATAGTTATTTATATAGAGTGGGGCCAAAAAGTATTTAGTCAGCCACTGATTGTGCAAGTTCTACTAGTTAGAGGAGAGGTCTGTTTCATCACTTCAACTATGAGAGACAAAATGAGAAAAACTAAATCCAGGAAATCACATTGTAGGATTTTTACAGAATTTATAAATTATGGCAGAAAATAAGTATTTGGTCAATAACAAAAGCTCAAACGTTTCCTGTAAGTCTTCAGCAGGTTTGCACACTGTAGCTGGTATTTTGGCCCATTCCTCCCTGCAGATCTCCTCTAGAGCAGTGATGTTTTGGGGCTGTCGCTGGGCAACACGGACTTTCAACTCCCTCCACAGCTTTTCTATGGGGTTGAGGTCTGGAGACTGGCTAGGCCACTCCAGGACCTTGAAATGCTTTTTAACGGAGCCCGAGCGGCGTGTTTGGGATCATTGTCATGCTGGAAGACCCGCCACGTTCCATCTTCAACGCTCTCACTGATGGGAGGAGGTTTTGGTTTAAAAATCTCACGATACATGGCCCCGTTCATTCTTCCCTTAACACGGATCAGTTTTCCTGTCCCCTTTGCAGAAAAACAGCCCCAAAGCATGAGGTTTCCTCCCCCATGCTTCACAGTAGGTATGGTGATGCAACTCTGCATTCTTCTTCCTCCAAACACAACGAGTTGAGTTTTTACCAAAAAGTTCTATTTTGGTTTCATCTGACCACATGATATTCTCCCATCCTCTTCTGGATCATCCATATGCTCTCTGGCAAACTTCAACAGGCCTGGACATGTACAGGGGGGGACACGCCTGGCGTCCCTCTCGGCGTAGTGTGTTACTGATGGTAGCCTTTGTTACTTTGGTCCCAGCTCTCTGCAGGTCATTCATCAGGTCCCTCCGTGTAGTTCTGGGATTTTTGCTCACCGTTCTCATGATCATTTTGACCCCACGGGATGAGATCTTGCGTGGAGCCCCAGATCGAGGGAGATTATCAATGGTCTTGTACGTCTTCCATTTTTTACAATTGCACCCACAGTTGATTTCTTCACACCAACC